CATTGGTGTCAGTGGGAGGAATAATGCCCCATCATTATTATCAGTGACACCGAATGATGGGGCACTATTCCTCCCACTGACAGCAATGACACTTAACTAGCCGACCCCTGTTCCAGCATGGTGCTGCTGCAGCCAGCATACCTGGTTGCAGCAGTACCATCTGCACGGCACATTTACTGGGCAGTCAGCTGTCCTCCTTCCTTCACTCCGGCCTCTCCCTCCCTTGATTTTCGCAAGGCCGCTCGGCTCCGCCTCCTCGCCGGTGATTGGCCGCCTGTGTGCCTTTCCTGAGCTACAGTACTGGTGCCCAATCACCGGTGAGGAGGCGGAGCGAGCGGCAGCGACACGAAAATCCGGAGTGAAGGAGCAGCGATCCTGAACTGGATCGTCGTGGCACTGGGACCGGAGCCAGGTAAGAGACAGCAGCCCCCTGCCTTGCCCTGTACTTAGTGTCCCCCTGCCGGCGGGCCGGATGAATGTGCTCAGCGGGCCGCATGTGGCCCGCAGACCGTAGTTTGAGGACCCCTGTATTAGAAGCTGATTGGCTACCATGCACAGCTGCACCAGATTCTGAGTGCTCCAGGTTTAGTAAATCCCCCTTCTTTGAATTAAAATCCTTAAAAAAGTATGCAAACAGGTGCTTCTGCCTTCACACTTGTTTCAGGTTAGTGACTCTATTAAATCCAGCATGTAAGCACAATAGTCAGGCAAGTTGCATTTTCAGGTAAAGCAAGTAATGGCAGCCTCTATGTTTTATCAGAAAAGGTTTCCCTTAAATTAACCTTTTCACATTTACCAGGTAAAGCTAACAGGGTTACTTTAAAGAAGGGACTACAAACAGTTGGTACTTTCCTTCCATACACTCCCCACTGGTCTTATCTTACATATTACAGTATTCAGGTATATGCACTAGCTATATTTAAAAATGCAATTAATAATTTTGAATTATATATATTGAATTATACTGTATATATATATATATATATATATATATATATTTGAATTATATATATTGATGTTTTTAATACATTTGCCTGGTGTTCAGCTTTAGGAAGCTCAGATTGTTACAATCTTCAAACCAAAAGTACGGGAGAATTCAGCTGAAGTTGCTGTATATGATTAAGACTTGAAATCAATCCTCTTAGAAAAGCTCCATAATTGTACATGAGCTTAACTGGTCTTATTGTGATAAGGGTCACATCACCTGGGTGCATAAGCCATGAAGCTGGCACAGGGCATCTTGACCTGTGGGCCACCTCTGGCCTCAAATTGTGACTAGAAAGTTCAATGATCAGAATCTAGACAGAAAAATAAAAGTTGATTTACGAAAATTGGAGAGTGCAAAATCTGGTGCAGCTCTGCATAGAAACCAATCAGCTTTGTTTTATTTTTCTTTTGTCAAAGATTAAAGTGCCACTAAACCCAGGACCCTGCATTCGCTATATCTGGTCTCCCTCAGTACACAACATGAAAATGCAATTATTTTAGTAAATATAAATTGCTAAATACATTTTCTCATCAGCAGTTAGAGCAGTCTTGTGACTTCAATCAGTGGCCAGCAGAGCACATGTTAACCTCCCTAGCGGCCTGATTATGTCCATATTTCTGTGCTTAAAGCGGTACATTTTTTTGCATGGAAATATGTATTTTTTTTATTGCAGGCCTGTACGTTTTAGGAATAACTCACTGAAATCTGTTCGAACAAGAGTCTAGTAAACATCCCGGGTATGTTACAATTTGAAACACGAAATCATAAATTATAATTTAATAAATAATCATAAAAAATAATAATATAATAATAATACATTTAATTCAATAATATAATCAAACCAAAAACACTGAAATATGAAATATAGCGCCAAGTTCGCACATCACTGAGCAAAGTCGCAAAATCGTTTTCAGTGTCTGATGACAAATTTCCCCACGAATCATTATCACTCAATTCTGCAAGTAGTTCTGATTTACTATCGCTGTTCTCTAGCCTGTCTAAAACCGATTTTGACCTAAAGGGACACTTTTTGGACGCCATGGACGTTTCCAGGCAGAAAGAATAGTAAAAATGCAGGCAGGGCACAGGACAAAGCACTCGGGACAAAATGTATGTGAAATGGTTTGATACAGTAATGTTTTACTATGTGATTTTAGTGAATTTAGTGAATGTCACTTTTTGTCATTTTCAAATTTCCCGCCAGTTCCGTCCCCGTACGTCCCGACGCTTGCAGGGGACCGAACCCAGATGACAGATGCTGGCATCTGCCAGAGGACATTGCCGGGGACACTGCAGGGGACGTTGCAAGAGGGACATCGCAGGAGCGCAGGACAAGGTAAGAGAAGAACAGATCCCGGAGCAGCGCTGCATGGTAAGCCCGAGTGTAGCTCGGGGCTACCGCTTGTGGTACTGAAACATTACCCCGAGCTACACTCGGGAATACCGCCAGGGAGGTTAAAGCTTGTAGGAGGAGTTTTCATTCTGCTCTAGCAGGATGCAGAACCCCTGACCTCTGTCTGGAAAGTGCTGATTGGCCCTGTGCTGATCACATGCACTCTACCATGAAAAAGAAAAAAACTCTCTAGCAGTACAGTCTATTGGTTATACTGTTTTGGGTTTATTAACACTTTAATTGAACAAGCTGAAGTTAGAAGCTGATTGGATACCATGCACAGCTGCACCACATTTTGCACTCTACAATTTTAGCAAATCAACCCCAAAATATTTAACATAAATAATAATAACAATCCATTTAATTATGTATGGCATATATTTATAAACGTTTCAGTGTGACATTTTCTAGACATTCACCCAACTTTCCCCCTTCCCTTTCCAAAATTCACTGACGACAATCACTTTTTATGTTTTAAAGTTCCAGTGTTTTTATTTTTTTATTTGACTTTTATACCTGCATACAGTACATGGATAATTAAAGCAGAGCTCCAGGCTCTACCCAAAAAATTAAAAGTCAGCAGCTATAAATACTGTAGTTGATGACTTATTTTAAGGAGACTTACCTGTCAATGGGTCTAGCAATGTCCTCACCCAAGCCGATTCTTGAATCGGCTTCGGGTGCAGGTGCTGGCACTTTCAGCAAGGGGAACCGGCAGTGAAGACTTGCAGCCTCACAGCCGGTTTCATTCTGTGCAGGTGCGAAGCGTGCTAGACTTTGTGAATGGTCTTGCAGTCTTTTAGGACCTGTGAAGTGTCCCAGAAGGCTGCGGGGAAGAATGGGGGGGGGGGGGGGGGGGGGGGGGGGGGGGGGTGAACCTCCGACTCAGATTGCCAGGGTGCATCTGACTGGAGAAAGGAGTGGGTATAAGTCAAAATCAGGTACCCACTCCCCCCTCCCCCTCAGAAAAGTGCCAAATGTGGCAATGAAGGGGGGAGGATGTAAAAAAGCAGAACTTCCCCTTTTGGGTGAATTTCCGTTCTAAGGTTCCTAAAGTATATAAGCCCCCTCCAATGGCCAGCACAAACCTCCTTGGCTAGTCGGTTGTCAAGATCAAGTGATTTTAGAAGAGTACCCCAGTTTCTCAAAGCACTCCCCCCAATGCTGAAGACAAGCATGCTGGAATTAAGATGGCAAAGGGCTGCGCACCCACAATCCCCATGCCATGAAGAATACTAGCTGACAAGCCTGGTGTGCCAGGCTGGTTATGATGGAAGGGCTTATGATGGAAGGGCTGTTATTTGTCAATTTAGTTTCTTTTTTTAAAAAAATGCATATTTTATTCACCTCTCCCACTGTAGAGAGCTCTCACTTGTACACCTTTCCCCCTGGGTTAAATATGTGGGCATGAAAGGACAAGTGGATGTCAGTGAATGTCATCAGGAGAAGTTGATATAAACGATTTACTGGTGAATTTGCAAGTGGATTTTTTTTAAAAAAACATACATCGTATTATTTTTGCTTTACTCTAATTCCCAAGTCATCCAAATGTTTTCTGCAGACTCATCACTTTTGCATTTTATTTTAGAATTGGACATTTGAATTTTTTTTTATTTGTAGTGCCCTGCCAAAAGTTAGGCTAAATTGAGTTTTTTGGCTTCACTGTACTCTGTGGAGAAATTATCTATTTTTTGTAGTCTGATCAGGGTTTCCTTAAAGTCATTGGTTGATTGCTCCTGTCAGCTTCTGGAGGAAGTAAAATAGGATGATCAATCACTGATTTATAAATCCTTATCAGACCCCAACCAATCCCTGGGAAGGGAGAACACAGAAGGTGGCTGAGGAAGGTGAAACATGTTTGGGGAGGACTGAACAGGGTGTTCTTCCACGGCAAGGAGGGTTCCCCTTCTCCCAGGGCTACTGCCCCTGGAAGGTAGCTAAGCGTGAGACAGGAGTTGCAATTTGGGCATCGGCTGGGGTTGAGCTGAGGGCCTGGAGAAGACTGCTAAAGTGGCTTGCTGGAGCCCTGGTCTGAAGAAGGACTTTATCTCCATCGATGAAGAGTTTTGTATAGAAACTGGGTGACAGACAGCTCCTAGGACATTGTGAGTAAGACTTGGTTATGGGACTCCCAAGTGTGTCTGATGATAGAGGGAAAAGAATGTCAGGGGTTACTGTATGGTTTGGGTCTGCTCTTTTAGAGACCTATCATTACCTATCATCTTCTGTTCATTTCTGATAACTTTTTGGAGTATACTGAACCCTTAAATCCTCTCATGGTCAAGTTTCTGCAAATAAAATCCATGAAAAGACATCCCATAGAGTCAACTTGTGTTGTCGGTGTGTGTGGATCTGTCTCTGTGGCAGGCAGCCTTTGTACTAAATCCAAAGAACAGAGGTATACCGCTCAGGCAAACAATCCAGATCCACAAAAGGTGCAGGCTCTGGCTCGCCACCACGCACGATGCAATAGAAAAAAGGGTCAGCCGCACATTGGAGGATAGATGAATATAGTGTGTATTTATTGATCCATAGGACACACAAAACACCGGGACATGAATATAGGACCTGATAACGCGTTTCACACGATCTTCTGCTTAATCATAACCGATGATTAACCTCCTTGGCGGTATTCCCGAGTGTAGCTCGGGGTAACATTTCAGTACCAAGAGCGGTAACCCCGAGCTACACTCGGGAATACCATGCGGCACTGCTCCGGCATCTGTTCTTCACTTACCTTACCCTGCGCTCCCGCGATGTGTCCCCTGCAGCATCCCCGGCCATCTCCTTTGGCCGATGCCGGCATCCGGCTTCTGTGTCCTGTCCCTGTGACGTCGGGACGTACGGGCGCCGCCGGCGGCGGGAAATTTAAAAATTTTAAATAATGTCATTTTTTTTTTTTTTTACATTTTACATAGTAAAACATTGCTGTCTCAACCCATTTCACATACATTTTGTCCCTACTGCTTTGCCCTGCACCCCGCCTTCATTTTGTCTGTTCTTTCTGCCTGGAAACTGAGAAACGTCCATGGCGTCCAAAAAGTGTCCCTTTAGGTCAAAAGCGGTTTAGATCAGCTAGAGAACAGCGATAGTAAATCAGAACCACTTGCAGAATTGAGTGATAATGATTCGTGGGGAAATTCATCATCAGACACTGAAAACGATTTTGCGACTTTGCTCAGCAATGTGCGAACTTGGCGCTATATTTCAAATTTCAGTGTTTTTTGGTATGATTGTATTATTGAATTAAATGTATTATTATTATATTATTATTTTTTATGATTATTTATTAAATTATAATGTATGATTTTGTGTTTCAAATTTTATAGTACCCGGGATGTTTACTAGACTCTTGTTCGGACAGATTTCAGTGAGTTATTCCTAAATATTACAGCCTACAATAAAAAAACTACATATTTCCATGCAAAATAATGGTACCACTTTCAGCACCAAAAATCTGAAATAATTATACCGCCAGGGAGGTTAAGCACGAGATCGTGTGAAACGCGTTAACAGGTCCAGTATTCATGTCCTGGTGTTTTGTGTGTCCTATGGATCAATAAATACACACTATATTCATCTATCCTCCAATGTGCTGCTGACCCTTTTTCCTATTACAGCCTTTGTACTAACAAGGGAAACCTGGGCATATTGTCAGTGGCCTCTTTGGGGGATAGCACTACATATTTAATGAATATTTAGTTCAATAGGCCACACATACTTTGTTGTTTTTTTATTTGAATCAAATTACATTTGCCTGTTTCAGCAAATATTCATTCAGTAGATTTGTTTTTCAGAATACTGTAAAAAGTCCCCAAAAAATTTCCTTTCTTTATACCACAAATATAAACCCGTCTTAACATTTCATCATGTGATATTTCCTACATATGCTAAGAATATGCTAAGAATACAGAAACAAGTGAATCATTCAGATTGAATCCCTTGTGGGTGTAAATAAAATGAATGTTTTTAATTTATTGCCCACATTTTGTTTTATCAGACATGATATGGCCTGAAAGGCCACATGCAATTGTAAGATTACTTGGAATTATTGGGATATTTACTAAAACTGGTGCATACAAAATCCGGTGCAGCTGTGCAAAGTAACCAATCACCTTCCAGGTTTTCTTCTCAAAGCTTAATTGAACAAGCTGAAGTTAGAAGCTGATTGGTTACTATGCACAGCTGCACCAGATTCTATGTTGGGTACCCATGCCCATCTACTTCTGGACAAAATTTTAAGTAACACTGCTGTCACCCAAAAAATATTTTACTGATGCTAACCTAAGTCACCTTGAAGTGCTACAGCCTCTGTCAAAATTTTCAGTCTTTGTAAATTCCAGAAGTGTATGAATGCCTGTGCCCCCCCCCCCCCCCCTCCGTGCATCATGCTTTCTCCCATCTGACCTCATGTCAATTCAGGACACAACAGTGACATATGGGACTGGAATCACAGTGTGCAAAAGGGGACACTGGCATCTGATACTCCTGGAAGTGCTAAAGATTCTGGCGAAGACTGTAGTTCTTCAATGGAGCATAGTTCTGCATCACAGGTCACTGGAAAGGAAAGTATATCACCTCTTCCTTTGTAGGGAACTGCTTGTAAATTTTTATGTGGACAACTTTCTCATTTAATGGGAAAGTGATTGGGTGGATACAGGGGGGCTCACTAGGTTCCTTGCAGCTCAGGTGGCATCCTGGGTTAGGCAGGCCATAGAGTATGCAATTTTCTTTCCTTTTTTTCTTTCCTTCAAGAAAATCCCTCTCACAGTGCTGTTGTGTTCTGCCGGCGGGAGCAAGGGAGCCTTCCCCATCAGCAGAATACAATGATCACTGCTGGCAGCTATAACTGCTGGCAGTGACAGGGCGAAAAAACATACTGGGTGTACTGATGTCGATTGATAGATCAACTTCAGGACAATCGGCCTGCCCATAGATCAGAGTAGATAAAAATCAATGATTTTCTTTTAAAAATCAAAACCATCAGATTTTTGTTTATTTACATCTGATTTTTTTTTATTTTTATCATATTTATTTTAATAAAATGCTTTTGGAGTAAAAATCTATCTAAAGATAGTTTTCTATTTAAGATACATTAATAATTTAGTTTATTCAGCATGAAATGGAGCTTCGTTTATGTAGCACGAGGCTGTATATTCTGCAATATTTACATTTTTGGTAAACTTATTCAATGAATCCAAGCTCTGCAAGCTGAGATAACATTCACCGTATTGATGCATTCACACAATTTCACAGTAACCATGAGAAAAAACATGAAATAAAAGAATTTGAGTCATTCTCCAGCTATTAGTGATTAACCTATTAACCTGAAATCGGTTCTGATATCGCTGTTTTACTAACCTGACAGCTTATTATTCTAAAAAGGAAACCTTCATTTGGTTTGCAAATATTAAAGATTCTAACTACCAGCAAGAATGAGTCAGATGCCTTACATTTAAAGAGCACCTGTCATTTTGTAATGTACAGCGCTGAGCGAACTGTTGGCGCTATATAAATACTGTATAATAATAATAATTTTAGATTCATAATGGCAGCGCCTGTTAGCGGGCATCCACTCACCTGCTGCCGCCACATCCCTCAACTTGTGTCACTACGGCATCACCAACCATCCCATTAAAGTGAATGAGATTCTCGGTGAGTCAACAGCAGGACAGAGATGACAGTTGCTCTTTAAAAATTATGATTTGAATCGAGCCTTTTCCCTAGTAAATGATGATTTAAATTGTAATATAAATAAACTTGATTTAAATCAAATCCACCCTGCCATAGATGGATTGAAATTCCTGCCAACTGGATGAATTTTGTTCTGTCTATGTCCAGCTTTAGCTTGGCATAACCTAATGAAAATATATTTTCGGCCCAGGTTTACCATAATGGCTTTCAGTGGACAGTGACTAGTGCAGCAGAATAAAGGGGCAGAATCAAGCTTCAGAATCTGCAAACTGTAAAAAAAAAATGTTGTATTTTTTTTTATTTAGTTTTTTTTTTCCATTCTAGCTACCTTTAGACATTTCTAGCTAAATTCAACAAATGAACTATTGGGAGAGTGGTTTGCAGAGGAGAAGACTTAAGAGTAGTTACAGCAGCACAGTGGCTAAATGGACAGCACTTCAGCCTGGCAGTACTAGGGTCGTCGGTTTGAATCCCAACCATGCCTGTGTGGGTTTCCTCCGGGTACTCCAATTTCCTTGTCTAAATTGTCCCTAGTATGTGTATGTATGAATGTAAGTTAGGGACCTTAGATTGTACACCCCTTGAGGGTTAAGGACTGATGTGAATGTACAATATATATGTAAAGTGCTATGTAAATTAATACACTATATAAGTACCTGAAATAAATAAAATAAACTCATGCAACTCTCTCGTTTCTCAGTCTGTACAGTCAAAAAGCAGCAGTGTATACATCAGATTCAGTTGATATAAAGCAGACCCAACAAACATATGACACAAGGGTCAGAACATTTACAAAAGGGTGTCATTATTCAGGTGTACCTAGGTCAGCACAATGTCCAACGGTGGGCCACTTCCCAAAACTGGATATTGTTTTTAAATTATTTTTACTAGTAATCAAGCTGTATGGTTAATAACAAAAATACAATATTTGTCCTCCCAACTATATAAAAACTTTTGCTATTCTTATAAAACTTAAAAAAAGGGTGAACTAAGCCCAACCCACAATTTATCCAAGTCCCCCAAACCGACTACAAATTCTGGCAAGCCCTGTTAAACTAGGACGGTTGGGTATTATGTCGTTTGTCACAATAAAGGGTTAATATGGATAGCATACACTTTCTCTCCATCATCTTTTTATCTATCCCAGGCAGATTAACAAACATAACAGTGTAATTATTGACAAAAGCTGTGTGCTAAGCTGCTTAATGTTTTTTTTTTTTTGGTTCCAAGCATATCTCTGGCTGGGCAAGGCAAAAACATGCAGCCCAGCTGATGGATGCACTGGTCTGCTTGAGTTCTGATCTGACATAAAAGATTTAAGAGACCCAAAGGAACAGAGCAATCTCCATAAATCATACATGCGTCTTACCTGGCATGCATTGTACAGCAGCTGATGTTCAAACTTCTTGATCCCCAGAATCTGCTGAAACATTTCGTATAGTTGTTCCTTGCTGAGGATAAGTTCCGAAGCGGCGCTGGCGGTCATCCTGGCTTGCTGTTTCCGGGGGTCTTCTTCTCCTCGGTAGATGGCATCAAATTTAGCCATCCAGGAGCTCAGAACAGTCTCCTTGCTGAGGCCATCGATCTCCGGGAGGCTCCTTACCCTTTTTTCTATGTGTTTTTTGAAGACCTCACGGGAGTCATTGGCGGAGCAGCCCCCACTCTGCACCATTCTTGCCACACGGTCGCTCTTCAAGAAAACCTGCAATATCAGATACAGATGTTACTAGATAAACTGGTTTTAAATAGGACTTTCAATAAATGAAATATACTTAATGATTGAAAGACGTTTCAATGACCATTTATAGATTAAATTGAGAGGTAAACTAGATAGAGAGAAAACAGGTGGCGCACACACCTAGTGCATTAACAGCAAGGCTCCTACTTTCCATTCATCACACATCTGCATCAGAGGCTGGTCATCAGCTCTGAGGAAAGGGATTCGTCCCCGAAACGCGTCAACATTTGACCACACTAACAGTGAGAACACCTTGCCTGCCGTTGTGGCCATTGTCATTTTTCTATGCTTTTTAGATACATGCTTCGTCTGTGAGTATGTTTTTTATTATTCTTTCACTCCTACAATAAACCTTGGATAATGCACTAGGTGTGTGCGCCACCTGTTTTCTCTCTATCCAGTGGCTGATTTCCCCGTCTGAGGAGGGCTGCACCCCTGAAGCATTTCCTTTGGTTGTCGC